ATGGTATGGTAACAATACGTAACATATACTGTACTAGAAATTTAGATTATATAATTTTATATAAAAGATTATTTATTATAAAATATTATAACAATATTTATCATAATTAGACATATACCAAAATTAATATATTTAATAATATTAAACATTATCTCTAGGGAGGTAATTACTAAATAAAATTATTTATTGTTTCCTGAAACAGTAATTAGTATTCATATAAAATACACTATGTTATAGAAATTGGAGTAAACTATAATATTCATTACCTTTACTATATAGTAGTGTTGTATTAAATTGTGAATAAAGACTATGATTTACAAGGCTAGCTTGGCTCTGGAGCCAATGTTTGTTAATCTATGATCGGTAGTATAGATTTTATACCATTTATCTACTTATACAGTAACTATAATAATGAATAAAATTACCTGACGGTAGTAAGTTGTAAACTAGTTCAATTTTATATCATATTTTTTTTATCAAGTGGTATATATTTTTTGTAACATATAAAACTTATTTTTTTAGTAACATTTGTATAATTAATTTTTAATGTATTATTTGTAATATATCATAGTAGTAATAGTAATGTAATAGTAAATCAAAGTGACCAAGCTCTAAAATTATATTATATAATAATATAGTTAACCCACTCCTATCTGTTTTAATGAGTTGGGCAATTACGTGTGCACTAGTTCAATTTTATATCATATTTTACCTTTTAAGTGTTATTCATTTCTTGTAACATAATAAACTACCAAGGCCGTGAAAATGTTATAAACAATTTAAGGGCAAAATGTGATTATAAAAGACAATAATTTTTTCCATAGAATTCATTGCATTGTTATTAAAAGTACTGAAAATAGATTGTATTGTTGTTATTCATTACACTTATACGGTAGTTATTGACATATTCATCATAAACAATATTAATATATTTATACTAGCTTCGTAAATAATAAATATTTTAATATCTCATAATATAACCTAATTAAACAAATATCCTGTTTTAATGGCAAATGACCAAGGCGCCAAAGTACGACACACGTTTCAATTATATGTATAAATACTGTATGTAATTATCAAACTAATTGTAATATTGACAATCAATTCATGTGATTTGATTTTGTGATAAATTATTTCATAAATAAGTATAAAGTACCTTTTGTACTAAATGAGTTAATATTAAATGATCTTATTTAGTGAACTAGGTTAGTTATGTTCTATGCATAAAGTAGTAATGAATAGAAAAAATTTATATTATATCTGCTATGAAATAATATACTTATAATTTTTAAAATCTTGTAATTTTTGTTGTTGAAATTATTAATTGGTTTAATAAAATAGACTCCATTAATAATGAATAATAAAATGATCATGTTCATAATGTTGATAGTGATCGTGGCATTGGTTTTAAATTTTGATTTCACGATCTCTAACCTCAACCAAAACTTATTAAGAAATATAAAAGAAATTAAAAATAATTTTATTAATAATACTAATTATGGCTATTCTTACGGTACAAATAGTGTCAAGAATTTAAAACTTATTTCGACACAAAATACAACAGAATTTAACAAAAATTTCAAGAAAAATACCCAGAATTTAATTATTAATAATCAAATAAATGACACAAATATTAGTGATAATTATGGCGCATATCTGGTGAACACAAATACTTGTCGTATAGTCCGGTGGCCTATGATTGATGACCAGGTGCTGCCCCTGTATATGAATATGTCGGGCAAACAGATTGAGTGTAAAGGACCTGAAAATAAGTACAACATATCGATAGAGAGATACAATTTTATGGGAATTAAAGTCACGAGTGATTTGAATAAAGTATTGAATTGTTGGGCAAAAAGTGTGAAAAGGGTTGAGAAGTCCGACGTAAGCGTTGACTATATTAATGAAGTGGTGTTTAATTCATCGCAAATACAGTACTTTCCAAACGATATCGCAGTTAAAGTCAATTGTACTCTAAATGAAGGTTTGGTTTTTTGATATAATTTATTATTATTTAAAATGCAGTTACTAAAATAATTTTAATAATTAATATTTATTTATTTATTAATAATAAATATTTATTAAAATACAGCTAAAAGTATTTATTGAAATACTTATTTTACCTTTATAAAAATTTATTTCTTGGTAAAGTTAACTAGAGTATTACAAATACCTGTCAATGAATATAAAGTTGTTAACCAATTATATTATTAAATTATAACAAACAGTGAAATGGCAAAACACTGAATTTTATGCAAAATACAAATAGTGATAAATGTTGAGGTCACTATTTGGTAATAAATTATTAGACTAAAATAATGTATATATATATAGTGGATAACATGAGAGAAAAAAGTTTGTTATTGGTAAAAACAGGTTATTACCATTTGGTGGATATAAATAATGTACAAATAATTCTACTGTTTAAATGTCAGATTACAATTTTAGTAATTAACTAAATTGTGAAAATATTGAACTAAATTAACTAAATATTTAACTAAATTAACAATATAGTGAACTAAATTAACTTAATTATGAACTAAATTAGCTTAATTATGAACTAAATTTATTTATAAAGAACTAAATTAACTAAATAGTGATTATGTGAATTTATCTCACAATTTAGTTAATTTGATTCCCAATTATGTTAATTTCTAAATTTTACAGTAAAATATTAAAAATTTAATTTGTACATTATTTATATCCACCAAATGGTAATAACCTGTTTTAACCAATAACAAACTTTTTTCTCTCATGTTATCCACAATAACACATTGAAAATCTCATGACAAACAAAAAATAAATACTAATTATAGATATGCACTATTGACCGTAATGTCACATACGGTAATGATATTGTATATTGTATTATACTTATGACATGAAAGTTACTTTAGTGTATTGCAAAAAAAAATATTTTTTACTAACAATAATTTTAGTTTTATGAGTAAAACCGTTTAGAAATGTAGATATTTATCAAAAAATATTATACTGTACTGTATATTAATTTTACAAAATTGTGAAAGTTTATTATATTGTGAAAAATGAGCAGGAAAATTATTTTACTTGTCGTATGTATAGTTATTATTATATTAATATACGACTATTATGTCGTGAATGTGAATCGCAAACATAAATTAAAAATTAATTTAGCACGTGTGCATAAAACTATAATTAATCACCCACATCATAAAATTGTAAGAAAATTCACTCATAATTCTACAGTGAATACAGAATTTAACAAAAAATTCAATAATAATCACAAAAATGTAATAAATAATAATAATAATATGAGTGAATATAATGCCATAAATTCTGGCGCATACCTCGTGAGCACCAGTAGGTGTCGTATAGTCCGGTGGCCAATGATTGACGACCAGGTGCTACACCTGTATGAGAATATGACGGGTGAATGGATTGAGTGTAAAGGACCTGAAAATAAGTACAACATATCGATAGAGAGATACAATTATACGTCGATTAGAGTGACCAGTGATTTGAGTGCACTTTTGAAGTGTTGGGCACAGGGTGTCAAACGGGTCCCGGAGTCCGACGATAACATATACTATGACAATATAATTGAGTTTAATTTTGGTGGTGTTATAGACTTTCCCAATGATATTGCGGTGTATGTTAACTGTACTTTAAATGAAGGTTTGGTGAAATATATTTTCAATTTTTTAATTTATAAAATATATAATAATGTAAAACATTTAATTTTCATTAAAAAACTGTAATGTTAATAATATTTTTAAAATATAAGCACTTCAAGTAATAGTTATTTTATTATTGGTGTGCGTCAGACATGGAAATTTAAAATATTTTTAATTTTAATTAATTTTAATAATTTTTAAAATAAATTTTACTTGTTTTTAACAAAATGATCTAACTTCTTATTAAATAATTACTTTTTTATATACTTAGAAAGCTATGAGAAAGTGGTACCACTTATACCAGTCATAGAGTGGCCAACTGTCCCGGAATTACCGGGAACTCGAGACCTACCGAACGTATTGTTCGTTGGCATCGATTCAGTGTCGAGACTGCAGTTCGAACGACACTTTGCCATCACTGCCCGCAATGTAATCAGTGGACAGGGATTTCACACAATGTATGGCTATAACAAAGTGGCCGACAATACCTTCCCAAACCTCACACCACTTCTCACCGGACATTATGTAGAGGACCTCTGGAATGAGACTATGGATGAGCCGTTTGACTACTTTCCCTTCATATGGAAAGTATGTTTTGATAACTAATTGTAAATAATTATTTAAAATGTTTTCAAATTTAATTATAGGAATACCAACGGAAAGGCTACCGAACCCTATATATGGAAGACGCGCCGAATATGAATACATATAATTATGGGCGACGAGGGTTTGTCGACCCGCCCACTGACTACTATCTCAGACCATATTACCTGGCTATGGATGACATGACTGATGAATATTGCTATTTAGATAAACCGGAAGTTGTGGTAAATATTAGATTATTAATAAAATAATTTAGTTTTAATTTTTAGATGAATTAAATAACATTGAAATAATTTATGCAATTCCCTGTAACAAATAATAATTTTAATCATGTCTGATTAAAATAATAATAATGATTTCTATGTTAGTACTTTTAAAACATACTAAAAAGTTAATTAATTATAAAAAAATTTTATTTTATCTAATTTATAATTTACATCTATTGTAAGAAATATGTTTTTTCAATTTCAGGTATATTACGAGTATTTGTTGGACTTTATCCGTGCAATGAATGCCAGAAATCAGAAGTACTTTGCGTTTCATTTTATGGCTCGACTCACACACGATATCTTAAATAACGCCGGATTTTATGATCCAATTATTAATACATTGTTTTCACAACTATTTCGCGAAAATCTGTTAACAAATACAGTAATCGTGTTCTTCTCGGACCACGGGTTGAGGTTCGGAGACATACGACAGACACTGTCGGGAAAGTATGAGGAAAGGCTGCCTNTCTCGGACCACGGGTTGAGGTTCGGAGACATACGACAGACACTGTCGGGAAAGTATGAGGAAAGGCTGCCTTTTATGCACATATATGTCCCCCAGAGATACCGTTCCCGCAATCTGACGGTCAATGAGCACCGGCTCACCACTCCTTTCGACATACACTCAACCCTTAAACATATTATCGGTTTGTTTGAATAGATTTTTATGAAGATATAATTTTGGTCTACTTTTTAGGTAAACCTAACCATACGCTAAGCTATGGGTTGTCCCTATTAGAGGAGATCCCATACGATAGGAGTTGCGATAGTATACCGATTTTAGAGCACTGGTGCGGCTGTCAGACCAGTCAACCCATACATGACTTACACAGCGTTAGACCTATGGCTGAGTTTGTGGTCACAAAACTCAATGACTTACTGCACGACAAGTATAGCAATGTTTGCCTAAACCTAACATTTGGTGAAACGCTGTCCGCATTTGAACAGCAAATGAATGATAAAGTGTTGCGATATTTAAAGTCAGACAATGCAGACATCAGTAAATCTGTGATTTTGAGTAACAATACAGTGTTGTCTGAAGTGAAGCACTATTTGCTGACAATTCGTGTCCATCCGAGTGATGGTGTCTTTGAATCGACCGTTAATTTGAATACGACTTCACATAAAATGCTTATAATTGGAGACATTTCTCGCATTAATTTATACGCAAATCAATCGCATTGTGTCGACAGTCCCTCACTTCAAAAGTATTGCTTTTGTCGAGATTTGCTATAAATTATAATTTATTATTAAGAAAGTTGAAATAATTAAAAATCACATTAACTTATAATAATATTACTTAAAACAAAAACTAAATGTAATACATAATAAGTTATTAAAAATTGATACTAAATAAATTTGTTATACATAATTTGCAAATATGAACGTTTAAATTTGAATGGTAATGGTATGGTAACAATACGTAACATATACTGTACTAGAAATTTAGATTATATAATTTTATATAAAAGATTATTTATTATAAAATATTATAACAATATTTATCATAATTAGACATATACCAAAATTAACTTGGTCAAAAGCAAACTGTACTATCATTTCAAAAAACAAGTTGATTGAGACACATATTATATAACGTATGTCTCACTGTATGTATGACGTGATTGTCGATCGCCGGGATCGCATGGTTTGCGAAACTCCTGTCCCTCCAAATGAATCCATTTGTTGGCAATCCATTTGTGTCCCACAAGTATAGGACACGCGCTGTGATGCATATGTCTATCCAATTGACCTGATCTGTCAAAACTGTACCAAAACCCGGCCGAGTATTTCGTGGGCCATACGGTCACATTGAGCTCCGGGAACACAGCGGCCCCACCGGCGCCCACATCGTTCAGAAACATGATCCACGTGGCCATGACATCCCTTTCATAGTACGGCGCGTTTTTCTGGAAGTAATACACGTCGTAGTGGTCGTCGTTATAGCCGCCGACCCTATACTTAATAGGTTTGTATGGTTCGGCATAATCCGTGTTAAGGCCAGTGATGGCACCGATACGTCGGCTAATTGTTTGCAGGAGTTTGTGGTGTCTGTCCGCGAGTTCGCAACGCCTGAACAGTCGCCAGTTCCCCGGTATGCGGTCTTTATGGAGTGCTGGCTGAGCCAATGAGATGATCGTTTGTGTCTCAGATTCCGACAAGAATTCATGGATTACAACGATTTGCGGACTTTTGTACATCTCTTCCACTTTAATGCGAGTCAACCGTAAAAACGGTGTTTTCGTTGTGTTTAAGTGAAAACACTTGAGTTTCGCGGCAATCGAGTCATTCATAAGTCTTTGTCCGCGACTAATTCATATGTGTTTTTAGTTTTTAGAAAAATAAGTTTTTCTTTGAAGGTATTATTAAACACTTTGGTCTCCGATATCAACTCATTTGTCTCGATGTCCGGCTTTATAGCGGTCGACAGTCTCTTATATTTCTGGGCTTCACTTGGTTTTCCAGTTTTGAGTTCACAAAACGACAGGTAATTAAAAATGTCGGCAATTGTCTCATCGCTGGTCATGTCATTCAATCTTTCGACCGCTTCTGTCAGCCATTGCTTTGCATTCAAGTACTCCTTGTTATCAAACGTTTGTTTTCCAATCAAATAGCAGTCGAAAGCATTTAAAGCAATATTAGATTTATTTTCATATGAAGTCACTTCAGCAGCGGAACTGGTCTTAGATCTAATGAATCCATTCTCTAATGACTTGATATCCAAATCATAAGTATTGACGAGACTTATCACTCCAAACGCGGCGTCTGTCCACAAGTTGTCAATAAATATAATAATTTTCATTAACATCTCTATAATTAACTAAAACTTCTTTGAATACCTTTTAGCTCCTGATTAGTGGTAATCTCATGACTACTGGACATTAACTGCGAGTCAAACGTGTCATTCAATGCATTTGTATGGTTAGAGTGACCACCGATTTGCCTTATTTGGACATCACTTATGCGCCGGTATTTTGTTTGCAACAAATCGTTCACTTCTTTCCAGTCAATAGTCATTCGTCTGATGAGGAGATATACGTCGAGCGGATGTCCTAAAAGTGAGCCCTCGGTGTCGCCTTTCAGTGCAATTGAGTTCAAATTCAATGAGTTGTCTGTCAGTCGTCTTATGCGAGAATTGAGGACCTCTTCGGACACCAAATATTCACTCAACGACTCAATCATTGCTTTTTCTTGCGTTAAAAGATTCCCTAGTTTTTGCGAAATCACTATTAAAACCATTGAATCTCAATGTAAGGTCTGTTGCATAAAAAATGCGAAAAACAAATTTTAATTTCAATATAATTTTTCTAAGAGTCCTAAACAAAGACAGTAACATATTATATATCGTATGAAAGCTTAGAAAACATACTTTTATATAGAATATAAAAACTTTTTTTAAGATTATGTATATTTTGTTTATATGAATGAATGCCTGTCCAAAATGTCTTCACCGCTTGACCTCAAGACCTAAGTCAATATTATGTATGAATCGGGTGTTTATTGTCCCAAAAATTTGTCAAAAATATCTGAATTATGTGTTTCACAAGTTTACCGTAAAATCAAACTGATAAAATCATGTGAAAGTGCCTCCCGGCGCCCTGAAAGTGGCAGAGCACCCATTAAAACAATAAAATCTTGGCTTACAATAGAATAAGGCGCGTGAGACGTGTTTTAACCATTGTTTTAACTCCAGATTTATTGACATAAGTTTTGGATTCATTGCCGGATTGGACGAATTGAAAATAATTTAGGGGCCAATGAGGGCCTTATTCAGTGTTAACTATTATGTAAATTAAATCTATAGTAAATATTCTACTTATTATCAAAATTTCAATGGAATTGAATTAATAGTTTGTTTTTAAATAACATTCTGTTTTTCGCATTTTTAATGCAACCAACTATATAATACAATACGAAACTTATCATTAAGAAACCCTTCATTTTGATCACAAAATATGTTTAACTATTTTCTTCGTAATTTAAAAAAGTAAATCAATGTCAACACTTAACGTGAAAACATGTTTAACTATTTTTTCTAGATTTAAAAAGTAAACCACTGTCAACCCTTAACGTGAAAACATGTTTTCTATGATATTTATTAATAAATAATCGCCTTAATTGAAAGCATTATAAATAAAAATATAAACAAGGTTTGCAAGCAATGCTATAGGACCCACATTTACAGTTAATTTATCATAGAATTAATTATAATGTAATAAATTATAGGTATTTATCTTCTATCCATGTTTATACTTTGAATTTTTCTCAATATTAATTGATAATTTATTTAAGTTTTCTAAATAGAATGTAAGAATTGTGCCCTAATAATAATTTTATTGAATTGGTTTTCTATAGAAAACTATAGAAACCCACATTTATAGTTAAGCTAATATAGAATCAATTATAATGTAATAAATTATAAATATTTACCGGTAATCAATAATAATATAAATTAAAATTGTGTTTTGAATTATTTTATCATTATCAAGAATTTTGAAAATTTTCAAACCATTGTTGTGAAGCTGGATATCCAACATTGTGTAGGCTTAACATGGGGTATTTGGTCGTACTTTTCCCACCACATGTCCCTCAATGTCCATTTGTCGCTTAACGCTATGGGATTTTTGTTTCCGCAATCGACATTTTTTGACACACCCGTCATGCAACATCATTATACACCATTTTCCCATAGGTTTAACATGGGCCAAAAAACATAGCGTCATTACGTCATCAGAAATTCTTTTGCCCACTTTTGCTGGGATTTTCCATAAGAAAAACAAAGTACTT